ACTCAAGGAAATTGGGGATGTGGAGAACTGGGCTCGGAGCATCGAGCTGGACATGCGCACCATTGCCACTGCACTGGAATATGTCTACAAAGGGCAGCTGCAGTCCGCCCCTTCCTAGCCCCTGTTCCCTCCCCCTCCACCCATCCCTCCTGCCTCACCCACAGCAGGAAGGAGGGAGACTGACAAGCCTTGAATAAAACACACGCCTCCAAAAAAAAAAGAGAAAGAAAGAAAAAAAGAAAAGGTCTTTCCTGACTACCCAATATCAGCAGCCTCCACCCCTCCACCTCACATAATAAGTCAGTCTTTGTAAATATTTTCTCATTAGTGCACTGACACCCCAGTAGAAAGAAACCTCCAGAAAGGCAGGGCCCTGTTTCAGTCTCCGCTGCATGCGTAGCGCCTAGCACAGTGCCTGGCACACAGTAAGCACACTCTTAAGTATTTGGTGATGAGCGAATGCATTCTATTCCGGCTAAGTAGGAAGGCCAAGGCTTGCAGCAAAGTGAGGGTCAAAAGACGCGGGAAAGTGTGGCAAGGGAGCCTCGGAGCACTTCGAAAAAGCAGCTTTTCCAGAAAGCGGGACACAGGCCAGAGGGCAGCTGCTACGAAAAGAGGGGTGCAGGACAGCCCAAGGTTGCTGCTGCATCGGGGAACGGAGCTTGGAACAACCCTGAAGGCGGTTGTTTCAGAAACGGGACGCAGGACCAAGCCGGGTGGCGGCTTCTACGGAGATCCGTGCATCCTCAATAAACCAGGCGGGGGCCGCCAGCAACCTGGGTCTGGGGTCTAGGGAAACCAGGAGGTGCAGAAGCCGACGCTTTAGGCTTCCCAGGGGCTGAGGCGAGGGGTCCACGGGTCACAGCAGGACCGACTTGAGGAGTAAGGGGAGACACGTAACCCCGGGACCCAGGCTGGCTCCTGAGGGGAGGCAGGGGCTGTTACCTGCAACATCCCGGTTGTCCATCTTGAGACTCATCCAATCCCACAATGCTCCGGTGCCACTTAAGGAGCCCTGTTATAGTGCGCATCGCCTGATGGGAGATGTAGTTCGCGTCGGTCAGACTTGCCCTATCACGTCGTGGATGATTGGGGTTTTTTACCTCAAAAAACAAAAGCCTCAGCCTACCAGCGATGCCTAAGTGTCAGTCGTGATAAGCAGATGGTGTCGCCCTTTTTACACCTTCCCGAAGCGGCGGCATCCCGAATACAAACTACATGTTCCAGGATGCCTTGGGCGGCAGATCTCGCGAAAGCCGGGAGGGGCGAGGGGCCCCGCCCCGCGCGCCTTCTTCCGCCTCCCTGTGGCGGCGTCTTGTTGTTGTGGAGGCCAAAATGGCGGCTCAGGCGGCGGCAGCGGCCCAGGCGGCGGCGGCCCAGGCTGCGCAGGCCGAGGCGGCCGACTCGTGGTACCTGGCGCTTCTGGGCTTCGCTGAGCACTTCCGCACTTCCAGCCCGCCCAAAATCCGCCTGTGCGTACACTGCCTGCAGGCAGTGTTCCCCTTCAAGCCGCCGCAGCGCATTGAGGCCCGTACGCACCTGCAGCTGGGCTCCGTTCTCTACCACCACACCAAGAACAGCGAGCAGGCGCGCAGCCACCTGGAGAAGGCGGTGAGCGCGGGCCGGGCCGCGAGGGAGGAGTCGCGGGCTCCTTGCAAGACCTGGGATGACGGGTCGCGACCGCGGCGGGCGAAGGTCGCTCCTCGGCGACCTGGGGGCGAGACCTTCGTCAAAGCCGCAGGACCTTCGCCCGCCTCTGCCGGACCCCAAAACTTCCAGCTTCTCAGGGGACACAAAGTCCTCGCCCCCCACGCCTTATTCTCCGTCTCTGGTGACAGGGCTCCAGGAGCCCGGTCACTGTACTTCGAAAGTTGCCTGTTCTTGGGAGCAACAGGATCCGCAAATTGTCTGGTTTTCAGATGATTCCACATGTTGGTGGCGATGGGGACATCACTGGGACTTGCAGCTACCAGCGCCTCCTAGTTTGGCTTCGGGAGCATCAGCCCCAAACGCTTCCACCTAAAGTGACTTGGGGTAGGGGTTGGTGGAGGCAAGACCCCTGGACCCCTGGCTTCTCCCCGGGAATCTGAAGTCTGGTGTCTCAGGAACCGGGAAGGGCATCCTCCTCCTTGGACGTGGAAGTTTGGTACTCGTTTGTGAAGAGCCTTGTGTCCTCATCAGTAATTCCTGGTGTCATATGAGGGAAGCTGAGACCCAAAATGTGAAGTGGGTCATTTGAGGCCTATGAGGAGGAGAAACGGGTTCTGGTTCAGTTTCAGTATTAGGGATCTTGCAGCTCTTGCTTTTTCTCTATCTGCTGGGGACTTGTACCATCCAGGACTCCATCCTCTTCTGAGTGAGTCCCTCCCCGTCCCAATTTGACTTCTGTGTCATCTTGGTGCGTCAAAGAATGCGGGAGAGTGACTGTCATTCTACCCTTTAAGAAACTTTCTAGGGCCGGGCTCAGTGGCTTCTGCCTGTAATCCCAGCATTTTGGGAGGCGGAGGCAGGCAGATCACTAGAACCCAGGAGTTTGAGACAAGCCTGCGCAACACAGTGAGACTCCGTTTCTACAAAAAATTAGGTGGGCGTGGTGGCATGGGCCTGTATAGTCCCATCCACTCCAGAGGCTGAGGTGGGAGGATCAACTAAGCCCAGGGAGGTCAAGGCTGCAGTGAGCAGTGATTGCGGGACTGCACTCCAGCCCAGAGTGCAGTTTCACTCTTCACAGAGTGAAAACTTGTCTCAGAAGGAAAAAAATAATAAAATTACAGGCTGTGGAGACTTTTTTTCTCACAGCAGTGCTGCTTCTGTCAGACCCCTGCCTCCCTTTTGCCATTTACCCAGCTCTGTCCTGCTTGAATAGAGAATTCCTGAAAAGAATCAACTCAAATTTTAAAAACTTATTAATCTGAGGTAAATCCAAGCTCACCCTCAGCTAGTAACAAGTTGCCTTGAGGAATAGATCAAATCTTTGTTTCGCAGACTAAAAAGTTGGAAGGAGACTTTATTTTATTTATTTGTTTATTTTGAGACAGTTTTACTCTTGTTGCCCAGGCTGGAGCGCAATGGACAATCTCAGCTTACTGCAACCTCTGCCTCCTGGATTCAAGCAATTCTCCTGCTTCAGGCTGCTGAGTAACTGGGATTGCAGGAACCTGCCACCACACCTGGCTAATTTTTAAAATATTTTTAGTAGACATGGGGTGTCACCACGTTGGCCAGGCTGGTTTCGAACTCCTAACCTCAACTGATCTGCCTGTCTTGGCTTCCCAAAGTGCTGGGATTACAGGCATGAGCCACTGTGCCCAGCCAATTTTATTTATTTATTTTTTGAGACAGAGTCTCACTCCGTCATCCAGGCTGAAGTGCACTGGCGTGATCTCAGCTCACTGTAGCCCTGATCATCTGGGCTCAAGCAGTCCTCCCACCTCAGCTTCCCATGTAGCTGGGACCATCACACCCAGCTAACTTTTGCGGGGTT